AGTGAGTAATACAACTTCATTCGCTGACGTAAAACAAGTTTTATTTATGAAATTCGACCCCGTGCAGTGTTCCCACAGTTCTTGACCGAGTGCTCACGTTTATTGAAACCTCGCATAAATCAAGAAATAAGTACGTGTACAAAGTGTACGAAAGCATTCCTTTATTTGACCTTATCATACGATCACAAACAACTTTTTAAAATCTTTTTTGGGGAGGTCCTCGGGTTAGCGCCCACCCCCAATTTTTCCCGATTTTGTAAGTTCAGGCCCCTGGGCGCGTGCCCGGGGTAATACGGTACTATTCGTGAGTCAACCATTAAAACAAGCATCTGAAAACCTTAAATTTAACTTAGCGAATGAATCTTGGCCACAACAAATTACCTCAATGACTTGATCTTGTGTAGTTTTCTCTCCCAATCCTTGACATAAACCATCATAGGCGATCTTAATTCTCTCATAACGCTTGTCACGATCCATAGCATAGTACCTGCCAACCACAGTTGCAAGCTTGCCATAATTGATTGATTTCATTTTGTTTAACAATTGTTCAACAAATGTAACTGAAGAAATAAAAAAAAAATATAAAACAATGCAGCAAATGTTTATTAATTTAACAGTAATTAAATTATTAATTTAATTTATTTATTGATTTATTAATTTATTAATTTATTAATTTAACAGTAGTACAAATTTGTTTAAGGTTCAGGAAACAATACACAGTAGGGATTTTTGACACAGGACAAAATAAGCAATAATCATTTTTTTATTTAAAAAAAACAGAAGCCACCCAATGCCCCTGCTGGTAGAAGGTTGTATATTCCAATATTGGCTGTGCATGTCTAAGAAACACAAGGTTTTGTGATGTACCGGTAGTTAAAGAGATAACAATAAAGAGATAACAATACCTCCACTTGAGGGTCGAGTATCGCGTCCATCAGCAAAATATTGTACAAAGCACTCAGGTACGCCTTGTTCTTTAGCGGCATCAAGAAGTGTAAACAGATGATCAATATGGGAATGTACACCACCATCACTCACCTAAGTATAAAAACAAAAAAAAACTGCTACGACAGACATTGAGGGCACTTCAACACTAAAGTCAACTTCAGGCACCATCCATTTCTTTTCCACATGAAATGTTGCAAAAATTTCATTTTTTTTTTTAATCAAAAAATAGAAGCAATGTCACATTGTTTGATCTAAAATTGAGATTGAATTTACTGAAAATTTGGCACTCAATGGTTTAAAAAAGTTCATAGACAGGTTCGCAAATAAATATTATATACGAATATTGTCGCATTTTGTTACTTTTCAGCAAAAAGAACTATTTTAATATTCTCACATGCATTTTCAACACAACTAAAATACTTTCATTACAACTGTCAACTTTTGAGCAAGCTGACTTACCAGTCCTAGAAAATGCAGTCTACCATTTCCCTGCTTTGCTTGATTACACGCATCCACTAAAGCTTTATTACTGAATATTGTTTTCTCAGTGATGGATTTATTAATACGTACGATGTCCTGGATAGGAAAAACAATGGAGTGTATTACAGTAAATGAAAATGTCAAGATAAACATAAAATGAAATACAGCGTACAAGGTAACAAAATTATATTGAAGTCAAACCAAAGAATAGATTTGACGCACCTTTTTGGGAAAAGGTACATTTTTTTTATTAAATTAAATAAATAAAAATAAAACTCTGAAATTTTTTGTTTGAACATCTCAGAACCGAAAGATTTTTTTTTTAATTTTGCCATTTGGTGTTTCAATATTGGTGGCTGATGCAAGTACTGGTAGATTAATTACAGTTCACTTGTTTTTAGGGCTTCTGAAATATACCAAGGGTTATCATCTTTATGATAAATCTCACAACTCATCAAAATAAGTAAATTATTTATTTTATTTTAATTTACATAATCAAAGTTTTCTATTGAATATGTAGCTTGAGATAAGTCTGTATTGTTCTTTCACCATATTCGTCTAGTGTAATTTTAACTTGGCTGGGAAGTCAAGTCAGGCCAGGCCGATGAACTTTCACCCTCAGACTCCCTAGCACAACTGAAATAATTCTCTCACCTGGTAAATAATTCTTCCAATACCAATAGTCATGTGTCCAACTTCACTATTACCCATTAAACCATCTGGTAAACCCACAGAAAATCCTGATGCGTTCAACGTTACAGCATTCTCTTCAAATAACTTATCCATGACCGGCGTTTCAGCATGGAGGATGGCATTGCCTGAATATTGAGAAGCAGATGACAAAATAAAAGTTAATGAGGGAAATGTGTTTCCTAAAAAATCTAAAGTGTCTTTATGAGGAAGTTAAAAATCACATGCATTATTGTGCAAGTCAAAGCTAATGAAATAAGATATTGGCACGATATAGCAATTGTTAGTAATACTTTTCATGTATTTGCCACATACAGGGGTTTTTCTAGAAAAAAACTGCAAGAGGGAGCACTCCAATTTAGTGGCGCCACCAAGTGGGGAGATAGGGTTCTCCCTACCAGGGTGTGGAGTTTTTGATAATTCTAGATTAAAATGGAGCATTCTATGGTTTCCTTGGGGCCAAAATTACTATTAGACAGGTCACAGTTGAAGACTGTGGCCACACGTGATTCCTGGTCAATCAACATTTTATGGTTGCCAGAGGATCTGCTCCCCAGGGAAAGGGGCGCATGGCCATGGCATGAGGGCGCTGCGCCCCTGTTCCCTTGTTTAAAAAAAACCCTGCACATACACTGTGCAGGACAGTGGTGAACCTGCATAAATTACATTGATTAACACTGCATCTAACTTGAAGAATACTATTAAAGCCGTATGTAGCATCAGTGGGGAGGGGGGGGCAAGCTTTCAGCCATCTATATCATAATTCGTGAGATCATGTGATTGACATTGGAGTACAATGTAGTTTAAATGATCAGTACCAAAATGCAGTTGATTCCATATATTTACCTATTTTTATTATCAAGATATGGTTTTCGGAATATATGATCAATCTGCTTTAATAAGTATATTAATGAGGTCAATGATCATTTATGGTTAGTCACATGACTATGCCTTCATTATGGGTTTGATTGCATGTGCTGGTCTGCAATTATGTTTCAGATATGACAGTTATGCATACTAATATGTGCGCATGACAACATATGTCCAGATATATCTGTATTTTAGTCATACGCTATATCTCTTGTCCAATGCCTTTATAATAGCACAGATTGCATCTCTGTACCTGCAACAGGGCTGGAATTTTGACAGTTATGCATATTAATTATGTTTGCATGACAACACATGTCTATCATGTGATATTGAGAGAAAAGAAAGCATCTCTAGAGTGAAGTATTGTGATATTGCAGGCCATGGTTTGTTGTTTCATTATATTCCGTCAATACAAACTACATGCTAAATTTCAGAGCAATCATATACTAGTATATTGCACAATTCCAGTTTCCACAAATCCAAGATGGCAGTTAAAATAATGATATCAGGATTTCTGGACCCTTAGAACATGATCACTTCTTGTTTTTTTTAAATCCAAAATAGCGGGCAAAGTAATTGACCAATCAGAATGACAGAAGAAGATTTATGTAGATGAGACAAACACTTATCTACATACCAAGTACCAGAACTGTTGCTAATAATACCAACAATACACCCGTAATCAGAACTAAAACTTGCTGAGTGAGAAGCAATACAAAATTTCAAAACAAGATGTCTGCCAAACAAAGAGGTTGATCGCCATTTTAAAGTCAGGTGCACTAGTTCCCATTCAATGGTATGCATCAGTTTCAGGCTTTTAGCTTTCGCCATATTCTCATGCCTTGATGAAAAAAAAGTGATAGAGGAAGAAAGGAACCAAAACAGTAATAAGAGAGGCCTAGCACTATGAGCTTAGGCTCCTAAATATTCTGTTTCAAAATCTGTTCTAAGATACTTTTTAGTATGTCAATTGACAAGTTGCTTTTCATCCGATAGCAATTGCATTTAAATCATCTAGAAACATGACTTCTTTGATTACAACATGCACACATGTTAGTGAAGTTTATCTTTCTTACTCAATGTGCTACAACACGTGATATTCTATCGTGTTGAAAAAACTGTGACTGTGTTGAAGAACCTACAGAAATTCATGTACCCCTGGTACATTATTTAATAAATGTACTGCATCACATGTAATTTTTCCCTGATATTTCTTAGAGTTAAACCATGAGTATGTTTCAGCATTAATATAAGAATACAGCTCACTTTGAAAAAAAAAAAAAAAAACCTATCCAGTATGACTTATTCATTAGTTACCGGAAACACCAAACTTGTTTCATAGACGTTCAAGATTTGTCTAGGAGTAGGAATTAATTCCATAAAGTTACAAAAAGCTTCAATTTTCATTTTCAAAGATTGTGCTAGTCATCCCATACATATACAGATCCATGCATGCTTGGTTGGTATTTTGAACATCCATGCCTAAATGCCAGTAGTATTGCAGACTCACAACAATCATCATATTGAAATAACATGCTAAACAACTCGTAGTGGAGATCCTTGAGGCAAACTGACAAATGGATGAAAGAAAGGGTAGACCTTGACACCCCTCCCCACTCACACATAGGAGTCAATTATTGAGAAAAAGCAATATCATAAATCATATACTTTCCTAACAGACTAAGATTCTATTTTTAAAATAACATATTTGCACTCATGGTGGCACTGAAAAGTGATAATGGATAAAAGTCTTCTTGAATAGCCTAGGCACCTTGTGACCTTCATAATCATGATCAGACAGAGCTTTATAAGCCATTAAATAGTGATACTGGTCTGGTAATCATTCAGCAAATGCAATAAAGTTTAAAAATCACATCCATTTTATATAATCCCATTACCATATGAAAACACACATTAATAGTGCATACAACACAGTCTGGGCATAGCTAAACACTTAGCTAGCTTAAAACTAGCATTCAAAAATGCTATACATTTAAAATATGCATAGCAAACTGTCTAAATACATCTTCTATCAGTAATTAGTTACTACAAAGTTGAGAATATTGATATTAAAATTTGTTAAAAAGTTTTGTATGAAAAGACAAAGCCAGATATTAGCCAGCTTGGAAGTTAAGTTTCTCACAGACTGTACTGTGTATGGAGTCATCTTTACAAATTACATACACTATTTTTCATTACAACATTTGTCAATGTTTATTACAGAACACAGACAATTTTATTAAAAAACATGTTGAAGGTTATTACAAAACATGTAAACTATTACAAAATGCCACAGCACAGACTTGTACAAGTCTTATTTTTTTTTTAAATGAAAAAAAAGAAGAAATTAAAAAGATTATTGGAAATAGAAAATTGAGAAATATAGAATGATTGCAAAAAAACTACTTGTACGCCATAATACATTTTTTGACCAGTCACAAAATTTGCCAATCAGAAACTACCACATTTGCATAATATGACAACTTCTTTTAATGTATTTTCTAGTTTTCATGATGTCCTTGGATGAATGTATTCAGTTGGCATCGGAAAATTAGGTTATGACAACTCTCTGACCATCAGTAATGTGTTCATTAACCAGTTCACTAAAAGGTATGGTATGCAGTGTGTTTGATCTTGTTGCACACCATGTTTTACCTCACTGGTCATGTGATATGCAAATTGCAGCTCATGAATATTAATAATTACTCAAACTTCACAAACACAAGTCATTGTTTTTCGCAATCACTAATTTTCATGTTAGCCATTTTTATCTCTTTCTATTTGCAAAAAAAAAAAATACCGGTAAGACTTGAAGCTAGTCCACACAGCAAATTATACCTTAATTTAAAGAAATAGTTACATATTCTCAATTTAGATTGGTCCAGAAAGTAGGGCCTTTAAATGTTATCCACAGAAATCAGAAATGTTCCCATGATAACCATAATAATCCGCAGTCTGCCGTGCCGTGTCGTGCCGTGTCATGGAATGAATGTAATGCTTCTCTCAGTAAAATATTAAGACAACTGCACGTTTCTACTTTTCTGTTCATAAATATTGTTCATTACTGACTGAGGTACTACCTACATGTGACAGAAGAGGCAGATAGGATGATTCAAGCATATACAATTGATCTCTGTACTCTTCAACATATGACACGCTTTTGAGTTAATCATTATAAGATATGCATCTCCAAACCTATCAGTTTTCACACAGTTATGTTATTAGACATACACCCTCCCAGCCATGACATAACAGACACCATAGTTCATACCAAATGCCAACTACTAGTAATAAAGGAATCCTTGCAACTGGGGTTTTTGAAGGTTAGAATGAATGAAATATACCACACTGCATTTCTTTTTATTCAGTATTGACTCTATAGACAGATATATCGGTGAAGTTTAGGATGTATTAAAAGAACACAATTCTACTGTATTTAACTGAAACGTTAAACATTTAGCGATGTTTCAGTAGCTGGGTGATCTTTTGGTGTCGCTAAAAACAAATAAATACTGTAAAAACTAAATCAGTAGTAAAAATAATTGTTTTTTCAAGATTGCAAATTAATAGAAAACAAATGAAAACAAATAAATATACATGCTATATACATTTGTTTCCTCATACTGTAAAATACTAACTTAACGTTTCAACTGTTTTGTATGAAGTTTATTATTGCTGAGTTGAATATATAGAAAAAAAGGTATTTTCACTGGATTTTATTTTCACTGATTCGGCAAAAATAACTTCAAAGGGAAAATACAATAGTTAGTAGGTAGTTTAGTGATACAATATAACTGAACAAAAGTAGTAACATTTTGTTGTTTAATTTTTTTAATTTTTTTTTATATTCGTCAAATCATAAGTTCAGTGTCTAATATTACATAATATATTTGCTCTATTATGCTGAGATTAAATTAGTTCATTTTGTACAAATTTATTTCACTATTTACCAAGCGACATGAAAATAAATAAGCATGCATAATTGCTAAGATACTTTTATTCAAAATTGAATAATCAAACTGACCTTTTATTGTCAATTGAAAATTTGACTATCAAAGTGCATCAGGACAATGAATGGCGATTTTAACAATTGTTGCAGCTACAAAAGGAGAAAGTATGAGACAACATTCAGGTTTCTCTTTTAAAATTATTTGAAATCCTGTCAGCTAGACTGTTTTACATGAAGCCAGAACCAAATTTAAAAAGAATAAAAACTGCAATTCCAAAATTGTTATATAAAAAACAAAACAATTCAAAAAAATATACAAAGAACAAAAACAAAACACAAAGGTTTTTTTTCAAATTAAAGCATGCTGAAACAGATTCCACTCTTAAATACCAAATGTAGTTTTTATGTCTAGAAGCCATGTAAAAATCACCATGCAGATTAGAAATAATTAGTAACATAATGTACATATTTAAATAAACAGATCGAGTATGCTGATAATAAACCTTAAATAAACTTTAAAACGCCACAGTTTTCCCACTTTTCCAGAATTCCTCTATTAATTTTGGATGACATTATTTGCCATTGGCTACAGGCCCTGATCAAATATGCTTTTTATACAAGTTTATTTTTGCATTACCCTGGTAATACTATTTACGGTACTTAATTGACACCATCAATCTCAGTCATGTTAACATATCCACCATGTGGCACCATATGACTCAAGTCAGCTATTTACCTAAGGACACACTTCTGGGAATTCAGTTATGTAAGTACAGTCAGTACAGGGCAAGCATAGTTGAAACTTGCAAACAAATACAATTTATAATGGTAATGCAATACCTACAGTGTAAAATAAAGTTGAAAGTATTAATTACTCTTTAATTGCTACTAATTACAGTGAGTTGTATGGCAGACAGTACAAGACACCTAAGAATCATGCAAGGCCACAAGTTTAACATAAAATAGTTTGTAAAGGGAAAATGAAATTTCTGCTCTGTTATGATAACAACTCAAAGATGCACCCCACCTCCAAGAATGTATTTATTTGCAGCTATTCACGGCATAAGTTACAGCATGCCATCATTTTGCGGAATTGCACTGGGTATTTTCAGCCTACCATATTAGGAAATGCAAATTCCAAATTTGGAACAATTACACGTGTAAGCTTCCTCTTATAATAAAAACATGGCTGCCCCAGGGTTTGACTGGATCCCACACAAAGAAGTTTGCTAAATCTGTTCTAAACTTTTTGGATTTCGACATTTCCATGACATATTCCTTGGGAGGTAAAGATGTATATGAGCATCGGTCGATACTCCAGTTGTACTGTCTTCGTGCATACCTTTCGGTATCCACATAATAACCTCAGATTATTACCTCATCCTGCACTTAGTCATCAAGATGTTAGATTTGCACATACAAATGAGTAAACAAAAACTAAAATAGCAGCAGACATATATATAATTGTGGCGTTGAAGTAATTTCTCAAGGATTTGTTCAGGCAGTAAACTTCCTTGGGATTCACAACAAATCACCAAAAAAGTTTTTTTTTTTTAAGCTACAGCAAAGTAACACAATTCAGGGTTGAAAACAACTTTATCGTCTACACATGATCTGTTTCATGCACTGTACCAAGTTCTATTGACAAGAATCTAATCTGGATATCTTGCGAGAATATTATTGCATTTTTATAAGCATGTATCACTTCCCAAGTGCAGGGCTTCCAATACCTGTAATGCTTTGTTAATGAATTGTTACACACTTATTGTTTTGATTACTATATAAAAACAACTATTGTTGTTTCCAATAATCACAGTCTATAAACATAAAATATTTATGAATTTGAAAAGTGCTGTTGATCAATCAGAACAATCGCTGTGACATCACTGCTGAGGAATACATGCAGGCCCCTGAAAACGACAACCTAGTCTGCGCATGTGCAAGTTCGAAAATAGACAGTACGGGTAGCTGATTGGCTTTGTAGCACATCGTGGAACACCATGTAAATTATTACATGTATAGCCAACCCTGTTGTCTCAATTGAATTTGAAAGAATCGCTCTTTGAATCTGATATAAACTACTTATTATAAATTAGGGCTTTTCTGAAAACACTGCACTGTATGCTTATAACCAAGTGATCTTCTATAGTTGTTTCCAGGATTAATTTTGTTTACTAATAAAATAACTGGCCTAACTATAGGACAGTAAAAAGCACAATAAAAAATCTAACAATGTGCACAAACAATCTTGAACATACTGTATCTGTATACATTTAACAGTGTTTAATTTGTTTTTGTTTCAAAACAGAACAAGATTTTTATTTGTTAGTTTAGCCTGAACCCAACTGTTCTTAATAAGTTGTATAGCGAAAAATATATTGCATCAAAACATTAAATATTCTACAATAATGATACAGATATGTGATATATGTAATTTAAAAATATTCTCTGTGGAGGCTATTTGTGTGAGAATGAAGGTATAGTTTACTTCTGTCACAGTCTATAATGCGAGGACCGTGATTTGAAAAGGTCATTTGCGGTCATAGAACAAAACCGGGCACGGAGAATCTGACCTTGCCATCAGTCGCAAAGAACAGCACAGAAACTGATAGTATCCTTGACATTTCAACAGCGATGATGATACTACTGCCGGCATTCGATCAACAGAACTCAAACTATTTCGTATCAGTGAACGGCTCAAACATTTTTATGAAGCCACTCACCGAAACTATGGAAATTGTGGCAATGCCTCCCGGCAATATCTGCATACAGTAAAAACGCCGGTTGCAGTCGACGTCTGCACACCAGAACTGTACACCGTAACTAATCGTTCTCACACTTTCCCGTTATAATATCTGACATCTTACCTTCCACGGCATCAGACACACCCCATCCATCGATTACTATCAAGCAAACCTTGCTCATTGTGATGTTTTAAAACAATACAAGTGTCCACAGAATTCTATCCCACTGGCAACTGCTCACCATGTCACGTACGGAAAGATTTGAGTTACGAGGGGGTTCACACTTTATAAGAATTTATTTTTGAATGTTTTATTATACTTACACTGAGCATAAAATAAATTGGTATTTTATTATGTAATATTCAATAACTGTTATCTCAGATTGCAAGAGGTGATATTTGTATTGTGCTAAATTGTTTTATTTTGACGATAAATGCCATCCGACAATAATCTAGGGGTGTACCCCCGATTCATGATGTCGTAAAACTATTTGAAATTTCTCATTCGCAATATATTTTATTGAAAATTAGTTCAAAGTAACGAATACTATTATCTTATTATAATGTTATTACCTTTGTAACTGTGGTTGACACATTTGTTATTTGCCCGAATCAACTAAAATCCAATACCGTTTTACGATAGGTCAGAGGTCAAACTATGTCACGCTCGATTCTGTTGTATACCAATAGGAAACTTTTGTTTATTTACTCCTGGCTGCAAATGTGACTTACTAGTAACTTTGGAGTATGGAAAGACTGCAGAATTGTTGGGCGTCGGTCTCATGGACCCAAGAAACGTCCGGATTTGACGTCAATGCTATTCTCAGCCATGTGATGGCAAACGAACTTCAAGGGTGAGGATGAACATGGGATGAGACTGCCATTGTGTTTGTTTGTACCTGCCGGTGGAAACGAAGTGGAGGTATTTCAGGCATCTGAAATTCTCCTATTTGAAAATATAAATGTGACATGCGTAGTTGTGTTGTATATTATGAACTGCAGCATTTTTCTCATGAAGCTCCCTGGGAAGTTCCTGCAACAAAATTAGTTTTAGGAGCAGGCCAACTGGATTTGGGGGTTTAAGATAGGACCTATGTAAATATACCGGTGTATGTATATCTGTTGCTTCCTTAAATATGATTTATCTTGTTTTTCCTACAAAATGTTTTGTTTAATCTGTATTTAGCTGCAGTCCTGTATATAGCTCTTGCTCTAGCTGTAGTTTGATTTTCGTATTGTCATTTGGGTCGAAATTTGATCCGTCATGTACTTTTAGGTGTAAAACTTGACTACTTTCTATACCAATAACATTTATTATGTTTTTCACAGTGACCAAGATGTTATTTCCACAACAACAGGTGGTGTACATCTATCATCGCCTGTCACAAGAGGGTCTGCAGATGCAGCTCCAGAACCATGTTTACTTGAGTTGTCATGCCAACAACATCTGTGTATGGTGTCTGTGGTGGTCATCAGTGAAGCCCGCCATATTGAGTGCTACTCGAACGAGGAATACTGTGGAACTGCTAGAGGATCTAAAATAGATATTGAATCAGATCAAAATAGTCCAGACGTGTTGTACCAGTGTGATTGGAAGTTTGAAAAACCAGTGAAAAGCTGTACAATGAAGGTGTGAAAGTTTGTTTGTATTTTGTACTTTGGGACCTGATATTACTGTAGTCTTTCCTCTTTATGCTCTAGTTAATGTCAACAGGGACCCTCCCCACCTCAGGGTTTAGTGGGGGATTTAGAAATTATGGCACAGATCTAGAAGCAGTACCTACACACGAATTGGTGACGTCATAAAATACATGACCTTCAATCGGGGTCGTTTCCTCGGTATATACGAATTGGTATATACAAATTACAATAAAGATACTTAAGACATTACACATAAGGTAAAACAAATCACGTGACAATATAATGATAATAACGGTAATAAATCCTAGCTTAACAGTTGAACAGAACGCTCATACAGTCAGTCGGGTGACGCCGAGGGTCACGAACTGTGTTGCAAAATGGCCGTGTGGTTGAAACTGGGTCATGGCGTTACGGGTGAGGAAGACATCATTAAACACTCAAAATCACAATAAAACGGGGAACTGGTTGCATATTACGGCGTAGCCAACATGGGAAATAAAAAAACGCCCAATACAAACGACATGGGTTCGAATCACACTAGATACACACTCACCAGAACCGAAGCAATCAGAAACCAGCAATCGTTTTGGCTTTTCCGTTCAACTCATCGGAACACTGGAGTAGTTAGAAAAATGAACACCACTTAACGACCAACGTCGTGCGTGTACACAAGCGTGCCATCAAATAAACAAAATTAGCTTGAAAAGTCAGTGGGTTCGAGTCCCGCTCAGAGCTACCGTAAAACGTAAATCAAATAAACTGAAAT